GATGTTTTAATAAATAAATTTTATTTTAAAATGACTCACATTTTCACTTTTCAATATATTACAAGTCTTTAGCCTTTTTCCACATACCAGAAAAATTATTAGTTGTTACTAATTTTATAAATATATTATAGGATGTTTCAATATTACCTTTTATAGGGATATTCAAAATCTCTTTTTTTTAAATATATTAGATTAATCATTATGATTTGATGACAAAATATTTAGATTGTAATTATTTTATTAACAAAAAATAAACAAAAGTTTTCAACTTATTCTCATTAATAAAAAAAAACTTCTTATTTTAAAATTTAAAAAAAAATAAAATTCACTTTATTATTTTTTTTTAAAAAAATTATACTAATTAAACGTTACAATTTGATGATGAAATATCTAAATTACAGTTATTTCATCCAAAAAGTATACGACCATTATTAAAAAAAAAAATCCTATTTTAAAAATAATGAAACTCGTTTTATTATCTTATCTTTTATACTTTTTTTTTCTTTTCTTATTTATCTCTCATGAAAAAAGTTTGTTAATTTTTTTATAATAAATCAATCATAATTTAATAATAGAATATTTAAATATCAATTATTTAATTAACTAAAAATATACATGTGTTTTTAATTTATTATCATTAATAAAAAAAACTTTAAAAAAAAAAAATTTAAATTCATTTTATTAATTTCTCTCTCTTTAATAAAGTTATTATACCTGTCTTTTTTTTCCCTCATTCCTTATTTTTTTCACTCAAACTATAATCTATATTTCTTTTGGAGTTTTAATTGGGACTTACACTTTTAAAAAAAAATCACAATTTAATGGAAATAGATGAGACTTTTAAAAATAATAATAATTAATGCTAGGGGTGTTCAAACCGAAGAAAAAAAACGTTTGGATTTTATTTTGTGAAAACGGCTTAGTTTGAATTGGATTTTGGATTGATTTTTCAAAACTGATCCAAATCGAACTAAATCGTATGTATATACTTTTATACTTATTTGTTTTTTATTAATATGATATGTTACGTGAATTTTTTATTAGATGATAATTATATTTTTAATAATATTTACTAGCTCGGTTTAATATATTTATTTTTATTATTTCAACCATAAGCAATCACTCTCATTTTACAATATTAACTTTTAATATATTATAGGTTATGTATCATATTAAACCTATGATTGTTTTAGTATTTTTATAATATTAATAAAAATATAATTTTTAATTTGAATATTCAAAAATCGATTCAAATTAAATCAATTAATTACATCGGATCAGATCAGATTTTTTAATATATTATCTAAAATCGAATCGAACTGCAAGTAAATTTATCTTTAAATCGGGTGAGTTTCTGGCTTAAAACCGATCCAAATTAAATCGCAAACACCCTTAGTTAATGCATTGGAATAGAATTTTGAAAAAGGTCTTTATGCATTGGAATACAACATTCATTAAAATATAAAAAGGTAGAAAAAAGAGAGGGATTAAGGGCATTTTAGGAAGAGAAAAATTAATTCTACATTGAAATTACAAAATGACTTATATTTAAACACAATTTTTTCTAAAACTACTCATAATAAAAACGGAGGTAGTACTATTTTTCTATTTGTGTCATTTTTTTAATTCTCTACACTTCTTTCAATACATTAATAAAGTTAACTTTATAATGTCTTATGACAAAATCATTATATTTCTTTATTTGTATGCAAAAACCTAAACGAAAGTCATTTTAAAATAGAGGAAATAGTTGTTAGTTAGTCAATTCTTGTTATTTAGTTATTTGGACTTTTAGCATGTATTTGGGCCTGAACATTTTGCCTATATAAAGGGCCATTATGTTTGTAAAAAGCAAGAGCAATAATATACATTCAGTTAGATAGTTAGTTACACTTAACTAACTCACAACAATTTTTCTCTCTTTTCTCTTCTTCTTCTTCTTTTCACAAAATCATCTTTCTTGAATCCTTTGTTCCAACAAATTGGTATCAAGAACTTGTTTGTAATTCAGAGGGAATCTAATGGCAAACAGATCAACAACATCAACACAGTTTTCAGTGAATCTACCGGTTTTCAAAGGTGAAAACTATCAACGGTGGGTTGCGCAAATGAAGGTTATTTTCAGATTTCAAGATGTCGTAGAAATCTTGAATGATGGAATACCAGAACTGGAAGTAGATGCTACGGAAGCCCAGAAAGTTGCGCACAAAGATCAGAGGAAGAAAGATGGTAAGGCGTTGTTCTTGATTCACCAGTGTGTGGATTGTGACGTATTCGAGAAGATAATTGAAGAAGAAACAGCAAAAGGAGTTTGGGAAAAGCTGAAATCTTTGTATGGTGGAGATGAGAAACTGAAGAAGGTGAAGTTGCAGACGTTGAGGAAGCAGTATGAGATGCTTCAGATGAAATATGATGAATCTATTTCTGCATATTTCTCAAGAGTTGTGTCGCTAACAAACCAAATGAAGGCATGTGGTGAAGCGTGTACGGATCTACAAAAGATAGAAAAGGTATTGAGATCCTTAATTGCAAATTTTGATTACTTTATTATAATAATTGAAGAGGCCAAGAATCTATCTGAGATGAAGTTAGAAGAACTTCAAGCTTAATTGGAGGCTGCAGCAGAGAAACTCAGAAAGAGAGAAGACAACTGAACAAGCATTGCAATCAAAGCTCAACAAGAAAGCTGGAAAAGAGAAGTCGAAGCAGCGAAAGAATCTTGCTGGTGATGAGAAGTCAAGCAAGAATATTGATTCGAAAGGTGTGGGAAACAAGTATTCTGGGAAGAAAGTTGACACGAAAGAGGTGCAATGTTACAATTGTCAAGGTTTTGGCCACTATGCTAGAGATTGTCAAAGAAAGAAAGATGTGAGGTCGAAAGATAGTGATGAAGCTTAATATGCATGAGCTGGAGATAGTGATTCTGATGATGTGTTATTGCTGGTGAACACTCAGTCGATTATTGAGAAAAATAACATGTGGTATCTAGATTCAGGATGTAGCAACCACATGACTAGCAATAAAAAATGGTTTACCAAGTTAGATGAGTCAGTCGAAAAGGTGATAAAGTTTACAGATGGTAGGTGTGATACGGTGGGAGATCTGACTTGATGTTTTTCGTTTCGATCGCACTTGTGCGGTTAGCAAGAGTCGCCACCGACTTTTCTTTTATCCAAAAGGAAAGGTAAAAAAGCACAGGAAAGACCTTTCGAGATTTTCACGAGTTCGGGGGGTAAATTATGAAAAGGGAAGCTATTAGCACCATTTTCATCCATGGTTTTCCATGGGCTCTTACTTACTCGTTTAGATCACTTGCTTTCATTTGATAGTGTGCTTGTGGTGTGAGCTTTGAAAGTATTTTGAAAAATCTCTTTGTAATGGTTCTCGTCTCTATCAGAACGTATACAAAGTTTTGTTTTCGAAAAAGGGTTCAAAGATGTGTTTGTGAATCGTGTATCGAAAAGTGTTTTGAAAAGATATTTTGCAATGATTCTCGTCTCTGTAAGAATGTATACAAAACGTTTTGTCTTTTGAAAATGTTTTGAAATGAGAGTGTAGGTGTAAAAGTTTTTGTCGTGAGCAAGCGAGTAACTAAGAGCGAATCTATCTACTCGAAAGGTCTTAAATTGTGTTTTTCTTCCTCCTTTTAATGGTGTTATCTTACCATTGATTTGGTAAGAAGCCCCATCGTTGGATGTGAAGGGACAAACGCGGGTCAATTTTACAATCATTGAAGGCAACTTGTGAGACGCTTTAGCAATTTTTGTAAGGGACGAGATCATTTTAATCGAAGGTAACATCGAGGGTCATCGAGGGGCTACGATCTTTTTTATCGAAGGGTCATTGCTAGAGCGTCCCATATTCGAGGGATATGATTGTATTTCCGAGGCAACGAGCGAGGTTACCCTAGAGGTGCGCGTGTGAAAAAGTGTGTTGGTTTCAAGTTATTTTATTCTTTGATTAGGTCATCTTAGCGATTGATTTTGAATCTTATCATACACGCCTAATTACTATACATTATATGGAAAACAGTAAATTGCAGGAATTGAAATTCTACGCTATTACAAAATGTTCGGGAATGGGGGTACAATTTTTACAAATGGGGATGAATCAAATGAGATAGGAAAGTTCAAATATCAAACAATACAACCAAATCGAATTTTGCGCAATCTAATTAAAGCTATGACAATCTATGAAAATTAAATCAACAAAATATGGAAATGAAATGTTAAGTATTTACTTGAAAAGAGAAAGGTAAAACCTATTCTAAAAAAATAAAAATAATTGATTAAATATATTCTTTATTTTTTTTATTTTATTAACTTGAGTAAAAACTAAAGAAAACAAACAAACTAAATTATTATTTTTTGATGTTTTATAAAATGTAAAAATTAAATCTAAAACAAATTCTATTAAGGAAAGAAAAGAAGAAAAAAATTACTTACAACAACCTAAATCAATTTAATAAAAATATTTTAAGTTTTATGCATTTGTATAACAAAAAGAAAATGAGAAGAAAATCAAATACAAAAAAAAAGTAACGTGGGCTTAGGAAAATGTGATGGGTTATCAGCAAACCAAACCCAAATATCTTAAACCAAACCTAGTTGTTGGTTAAGGGAAGACAAACAAAATTAGGTTTTTCTTGGGAATTTCTCCCACGCGGCGCCGCTGTTCACTTCCCGTATTCACCCCTGTTCTCTCACAAAATGTTAAAAAACAGTTCCATGGTTGAAGCATCAAGCTTCAACCTTCTCTCGCGCTTAGCAAAATAAACAACAACAACAACTCTCTATTCACCGGTGACAACAAAATCGCTCTCACAAATCTCACTCTATCACTCTCAGATCCTAAAATTCTTTCTATCTCTCTGTCGATTGCTACCTCTATCCTTCTTCTTTGTTTCAAATAAATGCTATCATAACACAATTAACATCATCGTGATTCGAAAATCCGTTGCAAGAAAAGGTTGAAGAGACTTACCAGTCGGAGTTCTCCCAATGCGACTTCGAGGTGATGAACAAGGAAATACTCTCAGGCTCGGGTATGCATTTTCTTTCTCTAACTTCTCTTCTTCTTCTCTGATTCTTGTCGATTTAAATCCTTGGGCGTGTTGTTTTTTTTTTCAATTTCTCTGTGTTGTCGTGTTGTTGGTTGTGAGGGAGTATGTATTGTGATGTTGGTTATTAACAGTAGCGGAAGGAGAAGGTTTGTGGTACGTGCAAGCAAGGTAATGGTAACTTGTGATTGCTGTGAATTTGGAAAAGTTTATGGGATTGTTTGGGTGAATTTTTGGTATTTTCTAGTGAGGTTGTGGAAGAGATTTATCAGTGGACTATTTTTTTCCTCTGTGAAATTTTTGTGAATTTTGTATCTGTATTTCTATGTAACTCCAACCTCTCTTCTTGTATGCAGGGCTTCCTTTCTTATAGTGAAATAAGGCTCAATATTTGGGGGGAAATTGGAGCCACGAAGTAATGAATTTGAACTAAATCGGTAGTGTTTTTTTGTTGTTTTTCTAAATCAGAAATTGCCTTACCATCTTGGTGCAATCCTTGGTAATTTTTTAGACAGCTGTAGTCTGGTTCATGCAGGTTTTGAAGCAGGCTGTTTTGATAGCTTTGGACAGAAGGTGCAGGTTTTGAAGCAGTTTGTAGAAGAGCATAATTTTGGACTGATGCAAGAGGTTTGTGGACGTCATTTCTATTGTGAGCTGGTTTTTGGTGATGAATCTATGCAAGAACTGTGATGCCTTTGGTGTTCAATTTTTCTGTTTTGCTTTCTTTCCAAATTGGTGTAATATATGTATTGTACTATTTTTTTATTTAGGTCTGCTATGATTTCTGAATATTGTAGGGCTGTTGTATGATCAATTTTGGACAAATTTGGCTATATTTTGAACTTTGTCTTGTTGTGTTTAATGTGGACAGATTTTGTTGCTAATGAAGATTGGTGGAGTTTTGAAGAGGAAAGCATGGTTTAGCATGAAGAATTCAAAGGATTTCGAAACATGAAAATGAGTATTAGGCTTTAGGAATTAGGACCACGACTTTTGAACTCTTTTTCATTGAATATGAATCCTTAGGCATAGGAACCTAAATTATTTCTTTTGTAATTGTAACTTGAAACTTGGAGAAACATGAATTGAATTGAATTTTTCATGAAGCATATTTTTTTATATTTTTTGTAATATTTGAACATCTTGTGAATTTTTAGAATTCTTGAGTAATGACATGAAATTTCTTTATAATGGTTAAGCTTGAAAGAAATCTTGTTGAAAGTCTCTTGAATTGTTTGGAAGATTATGAATGGATCTTGTAGTTGTAGCATGAAGTATTCTGGTGTCATTTTATAACTTGAAATCCTTTATCAACAACCACCTATAATTTCTCTTCGCATCCTAATTGACTTTTGAAATTCCCAATCAAGATATTTGAAATAACATGCTCCAGTCTGGTAACTTAAATTCCAAGTAATCCCAATAATTCTGTAACTGCATCTCAAACAAACACGCATTGTATATTCCATTTTCTAACCAAGAAAATGCTTTAAAAGACGCAAATCATCTGGTTAACCTGGATCAAACAATCATGAGTGTCCTACATGACAGTCTTAATCTCTTTTCCCAAAAAACCATGCTATGAGAACAAACATTGTCTTTTCAATAAACTTGAGAAAGCATGAAGATCTGTGAAAACCAATTGAATCTTTTTGAGAATTCATTTTCTTCTGAGGATTGCAAGAAAAACCCTAATTGCTGGTTTACTACCACATAATAGAATCTTTCTGGTCGATTTCTGAACCAAATTGAATATCCGAGAAACCCTAGGGTTGTGTCTTCTATGAAAAATGGGAGGGCAAATTTTGGGGTACAACAGCTGCCCCTGTTCAATCTTCTTGAACCTGAAGAGTTAGATTGGCGAGTTTTGTCATTCGTGACTCGAAGGTAAAAGATGATTGGACACTAGAGTGCCCATAAATTTGCACTCAACAAAAGTGTAGCTGAGGAAATGGGCTTAAAGATGCCATTTGGAGAGTCTGTTAGAATCTTGTTGGAGATGGGCTTGTAGATTCCATCCAAGAATGTTTGTTGTAAATCAAAAGAATAAGCATCAGAATGGTGTCTGTATTTGGAACGTATTTGAACTGTATCTGTACTTGAATCTGAATAAGTAACAGAATGGCTTTCGTGTCTGGAGCGTATCTGAACTGTATCTGAAGGATGAACTTGAATAAGCAATAGAATGGCTTCCGTGTCTGGAGCGTATCTGGACTGTATCTTGAAATTGAAATCTGAACGAGTGACAGAATGGAAACCGCGTCCGGAGCATATTTGTATTGTATCTTGAAATTAAGTTTGAATGAGTAACAGAATGGCAACCGTGTCTGGAGCGTATCTGTACTGTATCTTGAAATTGAAATCTGAATGAGTGACAGAATGGCAACCGTGTCTGGAGCATATCTGGACTGTATCTTGAAATTGAAATCTGAATGAGCGACAGAATAACAACCGTGTCTGAAGCGTATCTGTATTGTATCTTGAAATTGAAATATGAATGAGCGACAGAATGACAACCGTGTCTGGAGCGTATCTGTATTGTATCTGAAATTGAAATCTGAATGAGTAACAGAATGACTTCCGTGTCTGGAGTGTATATGTACTGTATCTTGAAATTAAGTCTGAATGAGTAACATAATGACTTTCGTGTCTGGAGTGTATCTGTATTGTATCGGTACTTGGAATTTGAATAAGTATCAGGATGGCATCCTTGTCTGGAGCGTATCTGAACTGTATCTGAAGTTGAGATCTGAATGAGTATCAGAATGGCATCCTTGCCTGGAGCATATTTGTACTGTATCTAGAATCTTTGAACATTTGTTAATGGTAGCTGTTCTGGACTGGGCCCGACAGGCCCAAAAGCATTACTAAGGCCCAGTCCAAAGGGACTCACTGAGGACCACACTGGGCAAAGGGGGGTCGCGTCCATGCCCGACACCCTGATGTCCACCTCGACATCTCAATGTCCAGCCCCACGCAGTGAAGTCATGCTCGACACCCTGCCGTCCGACTCTGTGTCCTGACGTCTAGCTCGACACTCGCTGTTCAGCTCGAGGTCTTGGCGTCGAGCTCGGCACCGTGCAGTGCAGCTCGACATGATCTCGAGCCACCTGGCTAGGGCAGACTCAGTCCACCGTTACCCCAACGATGCTCCGGAAAGACCGCGTCTCTGTCCGCCCGCACTTCACGCAGCACATCCAGGAAGGGGACCACGTGCTGGTCCCCACTACCCACGTAGAACCTGGAAGTTCCTCCATTGGGCCAAATCCACCCGGCCCAATGAAGGAACCTTGGCCCAGCGCTGGGGGCTATAAATACCCTCTGTTTCCAAAGGGTCAGGTATTCATCATTCTAACCTCAACTCTATTATCTGCTCGTACTCCCACTGACTTTAGCATCGGAGTGCCTTGCAGGTACCCCCCCCCCCCCCCTCCTCGTTCAAAAAGCCTTCAGCTCGGAGTAAGCCGTGACGGTCCAAACCTTCTGATCAGGTCAGATCAGTGGCGCCGTCTGTGGGAAACAGCTTCCCCGTCTAACGAACAGCTTCAAAGACCAAAGCTCAATCCATTCACTGTCATGGCTACTCCAACTCGTGAAGAACAACACACCCGCGTCCTCGACACCAACAACGGTCCCGCGAACAAGAATGGGCACCTGGACAATCCCAGTGATGCCGGCCACAATGCCGTCCCCGTGACAACCGCCCCTGGACCTTCCACCCGCAGGGACGGGAACACTGCGTCCTCCTCGACAACTCCTCCAAGACTCGAAGACGACCCGGAAGCCCTCGCCTACCGCAGAGCTGCCCGGTTCCATGAAGTCCCAGTTCCTGCCAGGGCAGATGCCACGACTCAGGCACTGTTTGCGGCCATCAACCAAACAAATTACCTCCTATTTGCCCAAGGAGAAAGGCTAAGGGCACTTGAAAATGACCGACGCCCCCCGAGGAGACATCAAAGGCCACCATCTCCACCTCCTCGGGTCGAAGAAGTTCGACACCCTACTCCCCCGCGGAGACATTACAGGGAGAACTCTAGGAGCCCCTCTCCCCCACCAAGGCAGAGGCGGCCCCAGTATGAAAGACAGCCCGTCATCCCTGCCGAAGAACCCAGTCGCGACCCATCAAGGCACGACAGGAGGCACAACAGAGACGGGCGTGTGACCTTCAACCACCGAGCATCACGCTCGAGGGAATCTCAGCACGACCAGCGTGCCAGACATCACTACAGGACCCCTTCTCTTTCTCCAGAAAGGAGCGACGAGGACGACCCCCGCGGTCCCCTGTCGCAGGCCATCATGGACGCACCTATCCCCCCGGGCATGGAGAAGCCCCCACACCTAAAGGAGTATGATGGAGTGGCGGACCCAGTCGACCACATTGACGGGTTCGAAGCCATGCTCCACTATCACAATGTCGGGGGGCCCATCAAGTGCCGTCTCTTCCCAACAACTCTCAGGAAGGCGGCCATGGACTGGTACAAAGGACTTGCCCCGGGCTCCATCACCTCGTGGCGGAACTTGAAGAACCAGTTCATCAGTTCCTTCACGGCCTCTCGTCGCCACCCGAAGACCGAGGCAGCCCTTGAGGCCATCATCCAAAGACATGATGAGACCTTGAGGGAATTCATCAACCGCTTCAACCGGGAAGCAATCCAGGTCCCCTGCGCGGACCATATGAAGAGGTACTTGCTGGAGAGGGGCCTCCTCCCCGGCACAGAATTCAGGAAAGCTGTGGGCATTGAGCCACCTGCAACTTTTGATGCTCTCCTCGACAAAGCCCGAGCATACATGGACTACGAGGAGAGAGAAGCTGCCAACAGGGCACGAGACTCCAGGGCTCGCAATCATGGCAGCAGCTCGAGACAAGACCCTCCTCCCCGACGCACCGGAGAGAAGAGGAAGGAAGACAGACCCCAGGAGGTCCGGGAACAAAGGGGCCCCTCGGGCCGGTTTACTGAGTACACTCCGCTCACGGCTTCCCGCGAGCGTATTCTGGCGGAGTGTGCAAGCACGGATTTTAAAGACGGTGGCGTCAAGCGTCCCCGACCAGCTCCTGCCAAGCCAGGAGTAGACAAAAACAAATACTGTCAGTACCATAGGAGTCATGGTCACTTGACAGAGGACTGCGTCCACCTGAAGGACGCCATTGAAACCCTCATCAAAGGAGGGAGACTTGCACAGTACAGGAGAAACGACGCTCCCCGTCGTGAAGCCCGCGAGGCAAAGGAGCCCGAAGAAGATGTCCGACCATCTGACGAGTCGGTGCCAATCCAGACCGCCTTCTCGGTAACCAGGCCCGAGGATTTCGAACTTCCCGAGCTCCTGCAGGAGCCCCTGACGACACACAGCAGGTGGGAATACTTCCCCTCCGCCATGGTCATCAACGGGGGCGGGTTCAACGACCTCACCATCAACTCAGCCAAGAGGAAGTTGGACGAACTGGTCGACAAAGCTCCTCCACAAACTGTGACTTTCGAAATGGTGAGGGGCAGATCAGAACCTATCACCTTCTACTTGGAAGAGCTCCCCGGCGGAGCACCAAACGCAGTCATCCCCTTGCTGATAAGGGCGAAGATGGCCAATTTTGACGTGCATCGCATCCTGGTCGACGAAGGGAGTTCCGTCGACGTGATGTACACTCAGCTGTTCCGGACCTTACAACTGGACGACTCACATCTGTCTCCATATATAGGTTCGGACCTTCAAGGTTTCAACGGCTCGACGTCCAAACCTTGGGGATATGTCGAGCTCCTCGTGACGTTCGGGGAAGGAACTGCTACAAGACAGGTGAAGGTCCGCTTCCTCGTCATTGACTGCCCATCCCTATACAATTGCATCTTGGGGAGGCCGACATTGGCGGAGCTGACAGCGGTTCCCTCAACTGTCCATCTAAAAATGAAGTTCTACACCAAACGGGCAAGGGTAGCCACCATCCAGGGCGACCTCGCTGCTGCC